ATTATCAAAGAAAGTAAAAATAAGTATAAGAATATAAGCAAGTTCTCTGTGGTAATTAGTTTTCTTAACTTTAATTTAAAAGCGAGTTCTACTTTATATACATATTAAAACTTGCTTAAAATTAAAATACCAAAAAAATAACTGAGGAATTGTACACAGATATTATCCCTACCTGCTGTTAAATTTGATAATAGGTAAAAGCACARCAAAAATGATCTATTATTATACATGTTTGTGAGACAGACACAATAGGKAGAAWACGTGAACGTGGATGCTGATCACATCAGGTCCTCTAAAGGTCATCAGAAGTAATGATACATCTTCTCCACAATATTATTATTGTCTTATGCATGTCAAGAAAATTGTGCAAATTAAGTACCATACGGTTGGTGTCTCGAAGTCATTGGACTATATTTAAAAACGGCAGTGTAACAAACAACAATCTCCAGGAAAAAGTACCGAGTACGGGATATTTCTTCAATCAATATTTTTRGGTACCTCCACATAATCCAATCCAACAYAAGCGATTTATTTTTAGAGCATCAGCCTAAGACTTACGTCGTCGGGTCCGGAGTCGGAAGAAGAGGACTCTGAGGCGCTACGTTTGGATTTCTTTGGTGCCATTGTGAGAACGTTTCCTTTTCCTGTAACGTGGAATACACAAATCGATGAACGAGGACGGTTGGTAAATACTAAATACTAATATACGAGTCAGTACTTACGAAAATTTAATATTAGATGAAAACGGATTTTATATCGAATTTTTCTACGATAAAAGACGGTTAACAAAATGTCATAAACTCATAAGCACATAACCTAAAATTCGGTCGTTGTTACAGTTTGACCGATCGGCGTGCCGTTAATTACCGGACAAATGTACCATTTCGCGTTTTTGCGCGTCTGACGGGACAACCCTGCGTATTACGAACTTTTCGTACGGCGGTCGGCGAGTAAATTTCCCGCGTACAAGTTACGAGTTTAGTCACGTTCAGACACGTTCCCATGGTGTTTTGTGTCGTACTTGTTGACTTCCGCAGACGACGCGGCTCTCGAATGTTGCACGTTACGTTCGCAATAATCCGACGAAATTCTAGTCGTCGTTAAGGTAAGTTATTCGTTATTCTGAGTTGTTGGTACAAATTTTGTATCGAAGTCGCATAAATTGGGGGTGGYGACTGTAAAAACATTTAACTAAATTTTTGCAACTTTAGGTGAACGCATATGGCACCCTCCTGAAATGTTAGCACCCCTAACTGACTGGTTAGTTCCAAAATGTAAAAAATTAATACATTTTTATTATTATTTATTAAATTAGTTGTGACTATATTTTACCGATTGACCTTTTGGCGTTTGCCACTATAAAAACGTATATTTGAAATAMTAATTAATATTTAACGTTATATTAATAAAACGCAGTGGTGGATTTGATTCGTCTTCTAGGGGGGGGGGGGCAATATCCATTGGGTCCAAAAATGATACTAATTTTTAACCTACAGAGGAAAAAACATGTAATAGGTAGGTATGAAGGTAAAAATGTAAAATAAATATTTATATTAAAAAATTTAAATGGTTMATTAACATATACAAATTTATATTAGTCGTCTACAATACAAAATCTAAATTTCTTTTCTTCATCGATGCAAATCGACTACACCCTACAGAGGCCGTGATTATAATTCTTAGAACTTCTATACAGATTTCTGAAAAAAAKTAYTATTTATACGTAGTTTGATGTCTAGGGAGGGGCCATGGCCCCTATGTCGCCCCCCTAAACGYCRCGTCTGATAAAACGTCAAGAATTGTACAAAAAATATATCATAMTAAGTTAATAATTAATAATAACAATTGTTGTGACTTAGAATACGTTCTGATTTTTATCTCGATAACGTATAATAATTTTAGATTATTTACTAGTTATGCTGGAATGTTATAATTTTATTAAAAATCGATAAATTAGGTACGGGAACTTTTTAGGGCTATAAACGCTTCCATTGATTTGAGAATAAAACTTTAGGTAGGTTAATACTAATAGTAATAATTTAGAAGCTATTAGTTTTTTTTTGCCCTTTATGATGATAAATCATTAATGCAAACTATAAGGAACAATGCACTCTTTGAATATTGTCCGTTGGAAGCACGCGATGATTGTATTTGTAAATATCAGAGTATATTCTCCTGTTTGCTGATATAATCGTAATGCATAAACCTGTTGAATGTTGGTAAATAAAAATTTTATTTATACAGTGAATTTATTATGTCGATATCGAGAACTTTAATCTTGTATTATATTTTTATATTCTTTTCAAATGAACAGAACTTAATTTTAACTTGGTTTTAAAATATCGTTGTTATGTCTTTGTTTRATAAATTATTGAATGTTATTTCTATAAACTATACCAGAACAATGGCATAGAAATGTTGAAGACTATAATAACATTTGTAGTACCGTACATCGCGTACATCAATCAAGGAGTCCCTTTGCCATCCTCCTAATTTTTTTTCAATTTATCAATTAGATGCAAACAAAAGCATAATGTAATGTATATTCATTTATTTTTAGTTTTTAGCAAAAAATAAACCATGTATTTTTATTTAATTTTTTTWAAAATATTTATGTCTACATTTATAATTCCATGGCTGTACAATGAGACTGAATGAGTAAATTAGAGGGGGATTAATTGACGTGAAAGGGAAGTTACCCATTGAATGACATCCCATGAAAAAGTTTTAGATATATAGTAGATCTCTACATTAGTCCCCTTTAAAGCGATTAGGAGGGTTACCTTAAATTTTCTTTGATGAGAGGTGAGATGATAATATGATTTGAGTGAGAACTGAAAGGTTTGTGTTTTTTTTTAGACAAGAGTAGAAATATTATTTAAGGTTGATATGTAAATGTMTTTATGAAGTTAGTCATTGGTGGTTTACCAGGGATCACCTGTTAATAATCGTAGAAWTTTAGCTGAAGAGCCTGAATTGTTCTGGTGTTTGAAGGTTTAGTTGAGCCTCAAAGTTGAATGCCATATTAGTACCACATGAGTCTAAAAAGTGCCATGTAAATGGTTCTTATAGTTTTAAAGGAGAGTTTAGAGTGGATTAAGGGTCTACGGAGGCAAGTTCCGAATTGAGAGCTTTTAGGTTGTTTTTTAAGTGAGGATCTCAAGTATGACGTTTGTCAAGTATTAAATCAAGATTGTGAGTTTTCGTGGAAGATGAAATTTGTGCATTATTGTCTTAAGGTTGGGTGGTATTCTAGAGATCGAAGGGTGAAAATAATTTGAAAGGATTTAAATGAGTAAATTTGAATCYTTCGGCCATGAAACCACATTTTTAGCACATTTAGATGGGTTTYGATKGGATATTTTTTGGATACTAAGAATAGCAGTGTCATCTGCAAATGTATCAAGTTAAGTGTTTTTGTTTAAAGGTAAGTCGTTGGTAAAGACATTTTACAGGAAAGGGGCTATTATGTCATTGTCTCGGCGGAACACCTGAAGTTGCTATTTTAGGATTAGAAAAGGTGCCTTTAATTGTTGTGACAAATACTTTGTTGAGATAAGATTTTATTAGTAGGTAACAYACTCCATATTGAATGCCACTAGTAGGCAAGAAGGATTACGTTTGGGCTGGGTGCCAAATTCGGTTAAAAGCTTGCGMGATATCAAGAAAAATAGCTACAAATAAAAACGCAAACTTTTTTGTTTTCGAATACTAGCGATGTTTGATCAAAAACTGTGCAGTTGGTTTATTGTAGAGTTTTTTGATGTGAATTTAAATTGGAAGACATGAATGATTTTGTTTTATGCGACAATTCTTGAAAATCTTTTTAGGGATATTTTTCGAATAATTTGCCTATGATTGGAAGAAGGCTTATAGGTCGATAGAAGATGGGTTTTCAAGAGGTTTATTTAAATATATTTTTGGGGATGAGGTATGACAGATTACCGTTAATTAGGAGTCTTCCAATTCGTCGAGTGGACACGTAGATAATAGTTGATTAGTCCCTTTAAGGCTTAAATCACTAACACATCTTTTAGAAATTTTAAACTAAACTTAAAATTATCCACCAGATTTGTTAAAAATTATTTTATGTCTGCTGATGTAGATGATAATTACAAAAGAATAAATTTCGCTAAAATATCGGTCCGTCTGTTTGTCCGAAAATTTCGGGTGTTAGAATCTTAATTTATTTTATTTCTTTGTTGCTGTTACTAAAATATTTGATGTATTTTAGCTAATATTTAAATAAAATAATTAATCTCAATAATGACCAAAAATTCACYAACTAAATATAATATTAATATGACGTACCTATTTTATATTATTTGGTTTTATTATATATATAATTGAGTGCAATAATAAATATCCATGATAAAAAAAAGCGGGTAAGTGGATGTCGCTCTGCTGTACATTAGGGGGTGGGGTGGACCTCTGACTAGGGTAGTTTAAATTTGAATGCAATGATAGGTAATCAATTTTCCCAAAAACATTGCATGTAGTTATCATAATTCATAATACCTTATTTTATCATAGATAGACATATACCTGGTTTGAGGATAAATCGTTATCGTTACAAGATTTTATAAAAATTTAAAACTCAA